CTCTCTCTCACACACACACACACACATATATATATATATATATATATATATATATATATATATATTTAGAAAAATATGACAAACTGGAAAATTTCTAGTGACGCGTTTCATCCGACTGGGCTTTGTTGATGTTGCCAGGTATTTTCTAAATACTGTTTGTTGTTATATAAAATTATACAAAATTATATATCGTTTTATATATATATATATATATATATATATTGGTTTGGCCTGGGGAAAAAGACGTGGGTTTCGAATACTTAGATGAGTATCACTGGGGAACTTAGTGAGTAGCGGCGCTGTATCGAGTTTAGTCAGTTTTTTCTTCATCACCGTGCCTCGTTGGTTCAGTGGTATGGCTCTTGCATTGTATTGTAACGGTCCGCGTTCGATTCTCGGTAGTGGTTGCGCACTGCTGATGACTCCCAAACAGAACAAAACGGCCATCTCGCGCTTTCTTCATTCTGTTGAAGATTCTCCTAGACTCGATGAATTACTATATATATATATATATATATATATATATATATATAATGATAAAAGTATAGTTTTAAGGTATATTATATTTATGGGTTCCAGTGCTCAATATCAGGGATAGAGCGTATCTAAATATAAAAGTGGACACCAAGGTCAACACCGATCAGTGATAGTCTGCTTCATGCTTGAACGCAACTCCCCCCCATTTTTTGAAGTGAAATATTGTTTCATAGATGTAAAATTTTCCCTGCGACAAATAGATATTACTTACCTGTTATGTCAAGCAGTGTTCGTTGCGAGTGTGTGTTTTCCCGCGTGTTGGACCTAAGCATTCAGCTTATTCTCCTTTTGTCTCGTCATGGTTGAGGGGTAGGTGACGTTGGTCGTTTCCGATTGCTATTTCAAAATCAGCAGTGGCAGTGGCTTGTATGTTCGTTGTTGTGTGCTTGGTGGGAATTTGCTTCAGGATCGCCTGATGGAATTAGTATTGTTCCGGTAGGATCGTTTGGGTGAACAGATATGACGTTGAAAGACCCGAAAATTGTCATGAACACAAATCATAACATCATTGATGAGGCGATCTCGCGCACTCGTTGAGTATATCATAACAAACTATATATATATATATATATATATATATATATATATATATATATATATATATATATATATGTGTGTGTGTGTGTGTGTGTTGTGTGTGTTTGTGAGGGGATGATGAAAAAGTTCTCGCTCTGAATCTTGGTAATTTGGTCAAATTTCTAGGAAGATAACTGGGCTGTAAATTTTGCAGCATTTCCTCATATTATAGAGACTTTCAGTCAGTTATGTGCCATGCGTTATACACGCTTAGGCGATCATGTATCTTTCGATACATGACTGACGAGGCAGATATTTTCCCGCAGTAGGTTGCCTTTTCTTTCTGTGGTAGACTAGTTGCCATCCAAGGCTATAGAACCCGGTCTGTCCTGCTATTTACCCATTGCTGGAGGAGAAGAGGAGGATTCATACCCTTTCCCAAGGGTATTAGCACGTAAGTGAATGTAACGGATTCGACTAGAATTCGAACTCGGCTCTCCGATTCCTCAATCCGAGACGGAATTTGAAATGGTATTTTGCATGTCATCAGAACGGAACAAAGAAAGCATTTTCACCTTTAGTATAAAAGAGAAACGCAGCATTTGTTAATTCGTGCACACATTGACAAGTAACTCTCGCGAGAGATATTTATTAACGTATTCAGTTGTGGATTGTACAAGCGTATGAATGGACATATGGCGAAATGCAAGACGGAAATTCACGTTTGTGATTTCCGTCGATTTGAACATTCGTTAATTATTTCCTCTTTTACAAACAAAGTACAAATTTTTGTTTCTAATAGGAAGTTTACGGAGACTTGGGAAGGACAGTAAAGATATGTAAAAAAAAAATTAGCACATAAATACTATAACTATTACTAGAGCAACAACATCATCATCAGCAGCAACAACACCAACAACAACGATAATAATAATAATTGCTATTATTAGTGTCCAGAATGAAAGGAGAAATCTAAGTTTCATTGTATTTTAACGATTGAAAGTTCTTTTTCTTTAATCATTTCATACCAAGCAAGGCAATATAGCCACTAAGAAGCAAGGGGGTTACTGAGAATGAAAGAACTATAGAGGACAATAAAAGAACAGGATGCAAGCAGACAAAAGATGACGCATGAAGTTACATTTAAATTTTTGAAGATGATAGTTGCCTGGAAAGCATAACGTCGGAAGAGAATTCCACGAGCGGGAAGTGATAGAGAAGAAACTATCAGCATAGAACTTACAGTTACATCTAAGAATTTTAAAGTAAAATTATGAAACTCAGCTGCCAATCTAGTACTGCGCTTAAATGTGTGATGTTGAGGTACCAAAGAGGAAAGTGCATCAGAAGTTATCTATCTATCTATCTATCTATCTATCTATCTATCTATCTATCTATCTATCTAGCGTATATACGGTATCTATCTATCTATCTATCTATCTATCTATCTATCTATTAGGAAATGTAAAATTTAAATTGATAAATTAATTTTAGTTTACAAACAATATAAATCAATTTTTTTAGTTTATTTATAAATAGTATTTTTTCTAAGGAAGTGTAGATATTTTATTGTTTGACCTTCACTGATTCACAAAAAATAAGCATGTCATGTTGAAAAAATACCCTCAGACATAATAAAAACAAAGTATTATTGTCAAAATCTTTATGTCATTATTAAGAGAAAAAGACAAATGACTTTTTGATTATTAAATTATATTTTTGATTCTTTTTAGAACAATGAAAATTTTGGTTAAACTCTTGTTTTTCTTGTGTCAGCGGAGAGACCAAAGATTAGTATAGGGAATTTTAGCGTCTTTTTTGCGGTAAAAAAATACATTGATTTGAGAATTCTTGCAAAAATCAAATAAATGTCGGATTTTAATGAAACTTTCAGGACTTATTCACAAATGAATTAAATTATTTTAGAAATGTTTCTTGTTTAGAAAATCTTGGTAAATATATTTTTTTTTTATATCTCCTACCCACCCATTTACTAAATTCATGAAATTTCGAGAAATTCTTTTTTGTTTTTTGTACCATTTAATGTTCATATTAGTTATACGGGGAACTCCTTGGAGAATTTAAATCATGAATTTATTTTTGTAAAACAGGACCCTCAGTTACCGAAAATCTGTTCTGAATCCTAAAATAAAAAATAATAATAAATTAAAACTAATACATTATTTAATTAGAAAATTCTTTGATTACTTTTATGAATGAGATATATGATGGACAATATTGTCTTAAGAAAAATCTTTTTCGACGAATATTCAATTTTTACAAGAATTGTTTTCATTTTTTTAAATTTTAATTATAATAATTTATAAAGTATAAAGTGTATTAAATTTCTGTATATTAATACAAAAATTAAACCGGTTAGGTAATATTGTTATTAAGTAAAAACTATATTTACTAAACATAAATGGAAAAGCTTATTACAATTTATCGACAATTTATATTTTAAAAAAGAATTTTTAATTTTTGTGTATAAACGTGCCGACTTTTTGTAAATATGTACGTCCATATAAAACATTATCAAAAATAACAGCGATAGCAATAGTAAATTTAAAAACAAAGTACCTAAAATTCAATAAGGCGTTAGATTGCGGAAAATATTTTCTTAAATTTTTAAGATCACTGTCTAGTTAAAAAATGATATAAAAAAGACTCTCACGTTATATTCCTAAAGTAACTTTATAGGTATGTCCACCATAGTAAAGAATCTAGATAAACTTCCGGTTGTCAGTCAAGCTGTCAACGCCTTAAATAAACACCTACTTCAGTTTTAAAAAATGCATTTCTGTGATATTTTAATCTTAAAGTAAGTAATATTTGTTTCAAATCAGATTAATTAACCTTTAAATCAATCATTTTTCAAATAAAGTTTCAAAAAAATATATTTTATTTTTGAAAGATTTTTTGATAAAGGGAATTACATTTTGACTACAGATGGCTAAAAATTGGAGCTAAAATCAGCGATTTAAAAGAAAAACTACTTCCACTCAATTTAAATTGGTTTTGAAATACAGAAAAGTATTTTGCTTAGTTGAAATATTAAATTTAATCTATTAGCTTGAAATTAAAACTAAAATAGAAGCTTCAAGAAAGATTTTTCATCTTTAAAAATTCATTTTAAACCTTAGGCATCACGTTTCTGTGGTGGTACCTATTTTAATATATATGATAAATTGTATTTCAAAATGTGTGGCATCCTAAGTGGCGTAGCAGGGGTTCTCAGTACCTGGGGGGTAAAGATACTTCTGATGTTGCCATCTCTGAAAAGATTTCATTATTTGTTTTCTGACTCATTGCTCAATCAAAAAAAAAAAAAAAAAAAAAAAAGAAAAAACGTAATCAGAGAGTGCATATCTTTTTTTGAAAAGGCAATTATCACTAAAACTATTTGCAGGGCAGGAAACGATAGAAATTTCTGGAAACACACCGTTTCTATATCTCGTATTCTATCTACTGTAACAAAGTATTCCACCAAATTATATTGCGAACATGTAAATCGGTAGGGAAGGTAACTCTGCCTGGATCCACCCCCAAAATTTAATTATTTCTTCTGTAGGCCATGAACAACCATTCCATTAAAATTTGAGAACTTTTTATAGATATCTATCTCACATCTCAATGCTACAATCATGCAAAAATATTTTTTTCCGTTATACCATTAGGTTTATGAGAAGCAAGTTTTTTGTTTTGTAAATGAAGTCTGAAACAGACCGATGATAAATACTTACACATAGAAAATATTTGTTTGCAAAACTGCCCATATACTTAACTTTGCCTTTTACTGGTAGCATTCTGAAATTCATCTTTTTCTTGGGTTAACTTTTCTTCCTCTCCTCCAATTCGTGTACATCACACTTGGCCAGTCATATGGCTCAAATGCACCGTCCATGTTATGCTCAGCATCCTTCTGTAGAACATCTCTTTTGCAGGTTTACGGTAATATCACGTTGATACACAAGTTTTCGTACGATCACCGAAGTTAAGCAACGTCGAGTCAGGTCAGTACCTAGATGGGTGATCGCTTAGGGATACCAGGCGCTGTAACCTTGGATGTGCAGTTGATGTAATGGATAACAGCTCGGAATTGAAAATCGGAAAGCCAAGTTTCAATTCTAGTCAGATTATATTCACTTACACGCAAATATTCTTGGAAGAGTTATGAATCTACCTGTTCTCCCCCAGCTATGGGTTAATTAGTATGACTTGTATCAGTAATCATTATTATATCCAAAAATTCTTACAATCTAAATATATTCTGGCTTTAAATAACCTGCAAAAGGTTGATAAGCCGTAAAAACAAACATAAATAAATAAATCAACCATTGAACATCTCTGTTGCTTCAAGTTTCCTTCTTATTTGTGAGGCAATTGTTCCGCATTCGCGGCTATATGGAAGGATTGATATTACATAGAAATTCAGCACTACTCTCATTGCTCCTAATGAAATTTTCCTGTTTCTTAATACTTTGCTTAGCTTTTGGAAGGCATATTTCGCTATTCTAATGGGCCTTTGAATTTCTCTATCATATTTTCCGTTGTCTGTTAAAACACTTTCCAGATAAATTTCTCTCCTTGTTTGATGTTGACATGAATAAACACAAACTAAATAGCACAAACTAAATCTTATCATCTGAAATTATAAATATTAAAAATCAGTTGCAGGGTTTGGCTCAGAACAATTGGTTTTTGTTTTTTTTCTTATCAACATTCATGAAGTTCTCTGCAGAATTCTATAAATAGTCTATAAATATCAATTGGATTGCTGTTTGCTAAGCCAGTACATTTTTTTCCTGCTGTTTTTCAAGAAACGATATATTGCACATCAAGAAGAAATCCATATCGTAAATCTAAATCTCGTAAGCGAGAAAATCTTCGTTACATTATTTACATTATTTGGACTATTGTCCTCATCTTTGTCACCATATTTATCACAACGTTTCGGCCGTTGTACGCTCCGGCCTTCTTCAGGTGGTTGGAATGTCGAACTAAACACTTTATTTCGCTCACTGGAGTAGACTGTTCTAGTTCCACTTGCCATGTTTAATGGATGTTAGTTATCAGATAACTCCTGTTAATTTCCCTCTGAAAGTTCTCCACTGCCTTAACCGGGTATTAAACCCACACTGTTTGGGTCCTGTCACTGGATATAACCAACGCCTTTATCCACTGTGCCATGTGTCTACCCCATTGAGTGAAATAAAGTGTTCAGTTCGACTTTCCAACCACCTGAAGAATGCCGAAGCGTACAGCGGCCGAAACGTTGTGATAAATATGGCGACAAAGATGAGGACAATAGTCCGAATAATGTAAATAATGTACATAATACCTCATCACAAAATCTTCGGCTATTTCCGTAATCGAGCGATCAAAAACATTTTTCAGGATGCGATAAATTTTCTGTTCAGTTGTCAATCCAACATCAGGTGCATATTCAGTGTAAACAAATGTTTCTCTAAAATTAATTTTTGAATCTTGAAAACGTTTCTGCACTGGATTCATAGAAAATTCTGATTCACTTAGAGAAGATTTCTCTTCAAATGTAATTCAAACAAGAAGTTCAAATATAACCAATCGTTGCAGAATATTAGAGGCGCTATATTTTGTTTCAGCCATGTTGCACTTCTCACTTAACTACTTTATCGGTCCTAGAGAATCTTTTAGTTTTCACGTGAAACATTTGCCGCTTCTTGCACATTTGATTCATAAAACACCATTCTTTGGCATCAAACATAACATGAAGCCATCATAAAAATTCAGGATATGGAATTAATAAATACTAAACACTTTAAATATCTTGGTGGATCGATAGGTCGTAACAAATCTCGTATAGGAGATAAGGAAATTGAACACAAAATAAACTTCGCTTGACATAGTTTTGACTAACGCCGTAATATGCTATAAAACCAAAATATTAACCAAAGAACTAAAGTCATATCTTAAATAGCCTCGTCATATTCTTAAACAGCCACGTCCTATTCTTAAATAACCTCGTCATATTCTTAAACAGCCACGTCATATTCTTAAATAGCCTTGTCATATTCTTTAACAGCCTCGTCATATTCTTAAATAGTCTCGTCATATTCTTAAACAGCCACGTCATATTCTTAAATAGCCTCGTCATATTCTTAAACAGCCACGTCATATTCTTAAATAGCCTCGTCATATTCTTAAACAGCCACGTCATATTCTTAAATAGCCTCGTCATATTCTTTAACAGCCTCGTCATATCTTGACTTTTATATGGATGTCATGCATGACGTCCAACCCGATCAGGAATGTCTAAATTGTTAGCTGTAGACAAACGTTTTCCCCGGTCAATGATTAAACATGACTTCGAGCGAATGAAGCCTGTAGGTCTAAGCGTGGACCATATTTCATTGAACATTGTGGACGGACTGGTGCTACAGAATCAGAAACAAAGAACTGCACCAAATAGCAGAAACTACATCACTTTCAATGGCAGCACATGTAACTCGAAGATAGTGACAATCAAGATGTTAACGTTCTACACTACTTCGAACAAAAGGTTAAGAAAGTTGATATTTCATTTTTGAGATCAGTACTGGAAAGAGCAATAACAGTGGATTTGAGAAACCTATTTTCCTGAAAAATTTCTTTAAGAGAAAAAATTTATGAATTTCAACTGACATTAGAACTGACTGTTTGGTCAGTGAATGCCAAATGTTTCCTTATAAGGAAACTGTGAATATTACCATTGCCATTAGGTTGTAAGTCATGTGCTTCAGTTTTGACAATTATTGTCTCATGTGCATGTCACAATTGCTGAAGGTGTATTAAACTCCATGAAGTCAATATGATAGTGCGTTAAAATATCTGAGGAAATCTATTTTTAGATTCGCAATGCTGTTCTTTGGATTTCTTTTTAGTATAGCGGAATCTTATTAACAGCACAAAGAATAGTGTCTTCCTTGTTTTCTTTTTCAAACGTAAATACATGTTCCAATCTAAACACTTGCATCTCTTTGTTGCCATCAAAAGAAACGGATACTGGGTTACTGGTGTCATCATTTTAAACAAGGAAGGTTTGCATCAGTTTGCGTGACACGAACATCAAAACTAGATATCGTGTATGTCTTTTTCGTTCCTGTGCCCCACTTTCAGTGATCGGCAAATAAATAAATAAATAAATAAAGCAATAAATACTAGGTACATCAGCGTAGGCAGGTTCTAAAGTTAGGTCTTAACAGTAGCCATGTTTACAGACATTTGACAACAAAGCGACATGTATTAATAAAAACGCCCCAAACTTGTAACATGTCAGTTTTATAGTAATAATTATAGTTTTGTTAATAAGGATGCGGAACATTTTCATTTAAAAATCAATTAATTTTGTTGAATTGAAATTGATCGAGTGTTATTTTCACAAACACAATAATTTGGTTCGATAAGCTATCAGAGCAGACGATAGATTTGATTTATGGAGGTAACTATTTTACAGAAGGCTTATAAATCTATAATGTATCCAAATCATAATGGAAACGCCTGTTGTATTTAATTATTTAACATTTTAAACGTATAATGAAAACATAACGAAGCAATATGAAAATATATGAAGCAACTACAGATTCTTTCGATTTTAAATGAAAAGAAATATTTAACATTTTAAACGTATAATTAAAACATAACGAAGCAATATGAAAATATATGAAGCAACTACAGATTCTTTCGATTTTAAATGAAAAGAAATATTTAACATTTTAAACGTATAATGAAAAAATAACGAAGCAATATGAAAAAAATATATGAAGCAACTACAGATTCTTTCGATTTTAAATGAAAAGAAATATTTAACATTTTAAACGTATAATGAAAAAATAACGAAGCAATATGAAAAAAATATATGAAGCAACTACAGATTCTTTCGATTTTAAATGAAAAGAAACATACGATATCTGTTTGATTGTGAATGAAGGCATCTGAGTTTATGTACAGTAAATATCCGATCCGTTCGTTTTATCTACCTTGCTAAACGGCTTTGGGTCTAAAGCGCTAAATTTTGAAAATACAATTAAAAAAAACCCCCAAAAACTCGTATCTTTTGGCTATGCTATTTATAATAAAATCTAAAGACTATGAGTAAAGTTCAAGTATTGATTTTCAAAGAAAATTAGTTTCGATTAATTGACTCTTATGGAAGAATTACCATGTTATATGTGCCTAACAATTCTCATATGAATGGTGCAGGTAAAACTCCCACGGATAAAACTCACACATTTAATGTGAAATCCGTACAAAAAAATAGAAATAAAATGGAAACGAAAGTTTGGTGAGACAAAAATTTCAGTGATTGGCGATAGCATTTTTTTCTTATTTAAGGAAACAAATATTTCTAATAATTCAGAGAATAAAAATCTTGATCGATTTATCACACTTGTTTGTTGAATTTTCCAAAAAAATAATTTATAATAGTTTTATTCATAAATTTTTATATGCCAGGAAAATGTTCAGATTTAAACAAAAGTGTTTATATTATGAAGCCAGGTAAACACTTCCTTAAGTAAAAATAACGAGAAAGTCTGTTTATATATACTGTTTTATATATACTTTAATTTCGGATGACTAAGAAAATGTTAAGCTTCGAAAAAGTGAGATCAGATTAAAAAATACTACTGTTTGATAACATTCTTTAATTTTTGGATACCACAAGTTTTGAAAATGAATGATTCAAATATAAAAATTAATATTGTGTTGAATTATGTCAGGATTTGAGATATGGCATTATCATTTTTATATGCTTTTACGTTATTATGTGCATTTACATAAAACCATGTATCCTCATCTTGGTTGTTATACTCACAAGGTTTCAATTGCTGTACACTCCGTCCGTCTTCAGGCGTCTGTCATTATCGATAACTTTCTGGGAATTTTGAATCGAACCTTTTATTCCATAAACGGGTAGCTTGTCCTCGTTCCGTTGTCCAAGGGATATCTCCTATTTTTCTTATTTACTACTGGTCAGTTATTGCTCACCCGGTTCCACTAAGCCTGTACTACCCAGCCCAGGGATTGAACTCACACTTATT